TCTAGCCACCGCCTCCCTTTACTAATAAGAACAGAATTATTGGCGTCCGGGGAGAGAGCGCGCGCTGGCAAATGTGTAAAGAATGTCTCATTGACACACACAGTGCTTGAGATTCTCATATAGGCGGCGCATCCGCTATTTATAGAGACACCGGGGCATAGCAAACAACTTCTCCAATTCGATCATTGACATCCTTCCCCCTCGCTTCTCTCGGCGGGTATACACGTGATGAGCTGCACGCTCAGCATTGTGAAACGCCGCCACCTTAGCCACGCGTAATGCTGTGCGTGCATGCGGGAGCCGACAAACTTGCCTATGCGCCTTCCTTTTATACTACGGTGCGCCTTGCGAAGCGTCCGGAAGCGCGTTCGCTTTAAATTCAAAAGAAGGTCTTTTTCTGAGACGAAATAGGTGCAACGGTGAACAATTTGCGGAAGGTTACAGTTGCATGCCACCAAGAACGTATTAAGAAGGCTTCTTATAGAGGCCATTCTTAATACGCTCTTGATGCCACCTTTATACGACGTTGCGCCTTGCGAAGCGTGACTCCTGAAGCATTTTCGCATCCGCGGTTAATGGAATTTTGAAGTACGTTCGGACTATCGTTAGCAGGTACGGAAACGTCCCTGTACGAAGTTAAGATCGTCAGTGCATGAATTCTCTCCAACGACGAGCGACAATTCTTCGACTAGAGCAATAGAGAGACCCTCTCAGCACAACGCGACAACCAGTCCCCCGCTTCCTCCCCCGAACCAAAGAAATCGAAAGACTCTCACAGCAACGCACTCCTCTCTTTCCCGAAACCACTTTACTGCATATATTTCGTTCGTTCGTATCGGTCGGTGATATTATCGCGAAGACTTAATTGTCGTTTTATGTTTTATCCGATGCCGAGTGTCTCTACGCTCGCATCTGCGCGTCCACTAGCAGCTGAATCTTAACACTATATGGGAGAGAGTGTGGGCTTCACTGTATCCGCCTCTTGCTGTCTCTAGCGCGCGAGGAAGCCGCAGCCGACTTCGAAGTATGTGAAGAAAAATACTAGACACACTAATCTTCTGATCTTCTGACATCTGATTTTAGAACCATTAATTTAGTCTATTTATACCATATATATTGCTAATAATACCTTATTAGGGTATGGGGTAAAGGTATTATGCGTAAAGGTATTATTAGCTCTTGACCATATTATTTTTACCAATAATACCACACAATTATCTACGTAAGACAGAAAGCTGCGCAGTATCTGGTCATCTAGCCTCTCGCTGTGAAAGAGTGGACTTGCGTTGTGCATGAGCATGCGTCACACTTTTTTTTCTCTTTTTTTCGGCGACATCAGTGTAGAATTACATACTTCACTCACTTTTACTTTATAATAGAAACATATTTCACCGACGCCGCACGGCATTGGATGACTCAAGAAGAAGAAGAAGAAGAAGCGTCACTCTCCCGCGCGTTAGGGGTTTAGCTTCGTTAGTTTTTCACCGTTGTCCCTGCAGAGAACTAGTTTCCTGAAGCGTGAGTTTGCTGTCATCGTACCTGCATCTAGGCACTAGCTTCCTGATATCGGTGTCCGTTACCATAGTTCCTTCATCCTAGAACTAGCTTAATGACGTCTGAGCCTGCTGCCATAGTTCCTGCATCCAGGCACTATAGCTCCCTGACATCTGTGTCTGTTGCCATAATTTCTGCATCCCAGAACTAGCTTCACGACTTCTAATCTAGTCTGCCATCATAGTTTCTACATCCCAGAAACTAGCTTCACAGCGTCTGAGCTTATACGGTCTTTGTTTCCGCATCTCAGAACTACCTTAATGTCGTCTAAGTCTGCCATCATAGTCTCTGCATCCCAGAAGAAACCTCACAGCGGCTGAGCCTCTTCCGTTTGCTTCCGCGTGAGAACGGCTTCCGTAAGTATGTGCATCTTCCTGCCTCGCTGCATGCGCGGACGAAGAGAGTAAGCCGATAGCATCGTTACGAAGAATCGGCGCCTATTAACTGCGATGCGTGAACGACAATCTGGCGAGCTGAAAACCCCGAGTAGCAATTTCGCGGGGAAAGTGGGGTGGGGGGTGAGGTGAATAAGATTCAAGAAATTCTATTTTTCTCTCACACACTTCTAGAGGACGGTCGACGCCCCGGAACACTGATTGGCCAGCTAGAAGTCCGACAATCGCACGTGCGCGTTTCCCCACTGTACGTGCGGGGGCCGACTGCAGTTGAACGTGCTTGCCTACTGAAGCTCAAAGCGAGTCTTATGGTTGTGCTAACGAGCGCGCGCAGAGACGTGCATGACGCAGAAATGCTGATGTCTATAGCTCGCAGCGTCATACATACATACATACATACATACATACATACATACATACATACATACATACATACATACATACATACATACATACATACATACATACATACGTCCCTCCATTCATCCATCCATCCATCTATCTATCCAACCATCCATCCATCCAGTCATCCATCCATCCATCCATACATTTATTCATCCATCCATCCATTCATTCATCCACCCATCCATCCATCCATCTTGGCGTCCTTCGATCTCTATATCTCTATAGTAGTAAATAATACATTCGTTTATTTTCTCGGCAATTTCACAAAGTTTCTGTCATTTACAAAAACGGAGCACGTACGCACATTAACTCAGCACGTGTTTACACGCGATTAGTAAAACAATAACTAACATATAAATGTACTGGTGCCCGCCCAATTATGAAAACGCAATTAAAATATACAATCGGTTAAAAACGCAGACGTTAACCTTTAAAAAAAATTAAACCTGCTGGTGATATAACTGCTTCCACACATCTGAACAAACAACAATAAACTTAAAATGGCACAGGCAACGACGGCTAAAATTATAACTTCTTGTAAAGCGTACATCTTGGCGGTTTTATATTTTTATCGGCGCGCGTTCTATACGATGTTGTTTTATTATCGGACAGAATGTGATGCAGTCTAATCTCTGCGGCTGAATCGTAGTGTTTATGTTACTGCATATTTTTTCTCCTTCCTCGGTTAGCGATGAAAAGACTGTACTTGCCCCGGTCGTAGCAGACAACAAGTGTGGAAATCATGCGTGCGTCTAGTGTTCGGCGAGCCCACGATGCTATACGCGGAGCGTGCATACTGAAAGGCGGGACGCCGTTAGTTTGTTTACAACTCGAAATAGTGAATCCCTCCCTGCGACCTACGCGTAGCTTTACGTGCACAAAATCAAACGTTTGTTTTTCGAACTACATGGGGTGAAGCACTTTGAGCGGGTTGTTTATTTGAACACGCACGTAGCTCAGCCTTCTTGATGCGACGTCGTCGAACGTAAAGCCCGTGTTTGTATAATTTATTGCCGAACAGATAAACATTTTGTTTGTCTGCTTCAGATGATTTTCCGTGTATATAATTCATCCTGGTTTCGCATCGCCGTCGGCGTATGATTATATTCTGCTGTCTGATTTGAGACGGCGGGGCCGCTTCGTGGTTGGTCTATACTCGTAATCTACTAATAGGTCGTATCGTTTTATATATGGTGCGTGTAGTGGGTGCGTGCGTGTGTAGTTCGGTGTGTGTGTGTAGTGCGTGCGTGCGTGTGTAGTTCGGTGTGTGTAGTGCGTGCGTGCGTGTGTAGTTCGGTGTGTGTAGTGCGTGCGTGCGTGTGTAGTTTGATGTGTGTAGTGCGTGCGTGCATGCGTGAGTACGTGCGTGCGTGCGTGTGCGTTCGTGCGTGCGATCATTTGAAATGCGAAATCTAGCAGGAACAGGTTGTCTGATTTCATGACTACGGTAAGCATTTGCATCGCGCTGTTGTTAGTTTTTGTTCATAATGCACTCGACAATCATCGGTGATACATCAGCGGCAGCAGGGGGCTGTGTGTCGTTTTATAGTTTTGCCGATTTCATGACAACGATACGCATTTGCATCGCGTTGTTGTTATTTGTTATTCATGATGCTGCATTTTTTTGCACTCGACATCATCGTTGTGACGTCAGCGGCAGGTGGCTGTTTGAGAGTTCTTGCCGATTTCATGACTATACGGTTTCATACTTTCTAGAATGTTCATCGCGTTGCTGTTTTTGTTTGTTCATGATGCTGCATTTTTTGCACTCGACGTCATCGACGTGACGTTAGCAGTGGCAGCGGGTTGTGTAGTTATGCCGACTGCGATCGTTTGGCGTCACTGTTACGGTTGCAGACGAAATGGCCAACCACTCATTATCGCCATGGACATTTGCCTTTGTCTCGATAATCCGAAGCCACGATACGCCCTCTCCTTGAATAAACCGCGATTGTTTACCCGCTAATAGCAGCCTAATTGCCTGTATTGAGAGTAGAGAACGCGTAGGGGAAGCGCTAGCACGCATAATCTCGTAAAACCAATGCGATCTCACGCGTCCGCGCCCCGTGCAAACGAAATAGGGCATTCTAAGAGGGAAGCCTCAATGAGACGGACAGGGCGTTGAACCATTAGAATAGGATACGGCAGCGAGCGTTGGCCTTAGTAACACTCCATCCATGCGTTCGTCCGTTCGCCTGTACAATTCTCGTTGTGTTACTTATCTTCATGTCTGTCGTGGTATAACTAGGCTGGCATGAATTGGTCGATGCCGAGATATAAATACACATGCACGCGTACGCACGCACGCACGCACGCACGCACGCACGCACACACACACACACACACACACACACACACACACACACACACACACATATATAATATATATACATACATATACATACAAACAAACAATACAACAAATAAAAATAATGGTGGTTGATGGACAATATAATATGGTTTATCCTAGTCTAACCTATTCTAATCTAGTCTAATCTATATTCGAACACATTTCCGCGCACCGAAATCACCCCCACAATGCATCTCGTCAATATCGCCATCGCGATCCACCGTCCCCGTTTGTGTTTTTTTTATTTTTCCATTTTCATCATTCGTTTTTCCCAATTATTTTTTCCCCATTTTCAGATTTACTTTCAACTAGAATCGCTCAAGCTGGTCGCCGAGAACGAGTGCGACGTCAACTTTCTAGAGATGTACGACGGAAGCACGCACGTCGGCAACGTACAGCGGTTCTGCCACAGTACGCGCACTCCGTACAAGACGCAGACTAACAGGCTCGTCGTGCGCGCGTTCGGTCGGATCGCCATAGCGACGCAGACGAGCGAGTGGCCGCGCTTCCAGGCGATGTTCAACATGTTCCGCAGCGGTAAGTGTGTATGTGTGTGTGTGTGTGTGTGTGTGTGAATGTGTCGTTGTTATGTATTATTGTATGTATGTATGCATATGTAATGTTATGTATGTATGTATGTATGTTGGTATTATGTAAATGTATGTATTGTATGTTGTAATGTTTATGTATGATATGTAGTATGTGTATGTATGTATGTATGTATGTATTGTATGTATTGTATGTATGTATTATTGTATGATTGTAATGTTGTTATGTATGTATGTATGATGATATGTGATGGTATGTAGTAATGTTTATTTTATGTATGTATGTATGTATGTATGTATGTAGTGTATGTAGTGATATGTATGTATGTATGTATGTATGTGATTGGATGGATGGATGGATGATGAATGAATGTGAGATAGATTAGAGCAGATAGATAGATAGATCTAGAATATATAATAGTATGACATGAGATTAGAGAGAGTGAGAGAGAAAGGAGAGAGGAGTGGAGAGGAGAGAGAGAGAGAGGAGAGAGCGAGAGAGAGAGAGAGAGAGAGAGATGTGTGTGTGAGAGAGCGGAGGAAAGAGAAGAGAAAGAGGAGAGAGAGAGAGATGAGAGAGAGAGAGATGAGAGAGCAAGAGAGAAGAAGGGGCGCAAGCACGATATTTGAACGGTGAATGAAGATCGGATATCTAAGTTTCTTCGAATAAGTTCATCTCAGTGGCTATAGTGGAGTGAACTCTTTGCATCATCAATATTACTAGGACGCACTGATAACGCTATGAATTCAAAACAATTTTTGACGGTCTAGCGAACTCTTAACTATATCGGTTAAAAGCACAGCACGCGCGCATGGAAGTGTACACGTGTTCGCACGTGCCTCCACGGGAGATAAAAGATTTTTTCCTTGTGTGAAATTGCTTGAGATTCCTCTCACAGGCTTTCCAGAAAGGCTATCTGTTGATGTGCGCGCGCTTCGGTTTCTAAACAAACAGTAGCAAGTTAATGCGCTCGTGCACGCTGGGTGGTTTTCATGAAAACCCCAAGACGAGACGGCAATCCAGAAGGCAGGACTAGAAGCAGCATGTAATATATGTAAGGTTGGAACGAATGTCTCGCTATACTTGCACGTGCTAGCGGCGTACCAGTGTGCGTGCGGACGTGTGCGCGTGTATGCATGCGTGCGTGCGGTGCGGGCGGGCGTGTATGCATGCGTGAGTGCGTGCGAGCGGCGGGCCGTGCGGCGGGCGTGGCGGGCGTGGTATGCATGCGCGCGTGCGTGCGTGCGTGCGTGCGTGCGTGCGTGCGTGGTGTATGCATGCGTGCGTGCGTGCGCGGACGGCTGTGCCTGCGTGCGGGCGTGACGGAGCGTGGGCGTGCGTGCGTTGCTGTACGTCCGTGCGTGATGCACTGCGTGAGTGCATGCGTGCGTGCGGTGCGTGGCGTGCGTGCGGTGCGTGGCGTGCCGGTGTGTGCTGTGTTGCTGTGACGGTCTGCGTGTGGGGGGAATATCGTGTAAGCTGCACGTGCTGTTGCTCTTTCTTTCTGCACCAAGGCTAACGCTGCGTTTATTGATGCTTACTTGTGTATATCTAGTTTTGAAAACCGACTCAAATCAATTATCGCATGTGTATGTACGTGCATATATGTGTGTTACGCGCTGTGCGTGCGTCTTGCGGGGTGCGCGTGTGTGAAATATAAGCAAGAAAAATATTTAACGAAAGCGTGTTAAACTACTAGGTAGTAAGCGCAAAGAACACATGGTATTTCGCCCCCAAAATTAATCATTCTGGCTTCCGTCATCTTACGCAACGGTGTCCAATTTCGTTGCAAGAGTTGAGAGTAGGAGCGTCTGTGGCTTAGGCCCGAAATGCTTTATAACCGACGCCTGTTCTTCACATCGAAATGAGATGAATCCGCGTCTCGGAGGATTATGCGGCAAATTACGCGCGAAGGCCAGGGGCGGAGGTAGCACAAACGACAGAATTGTATTACGCTACAGCGAGAGATCTGGCGGTGAATATCACAGGGCGCACGATCTCTGCTCTCTCTCTCTCTCTCTCTCTCTCTCTCTCTTCTACTCTTCTCTCTGTACGCGCTTCTCGTCTCTCTCCTCGCTCTTCTTTCTCTCCGGTCCCTCTTTTCTCTCTCCTCTCCTCTTTCTTAGCTATTTGCTCTCTCTCCTCTCCATCTGCTCTCACTGTCTCACGCTCTTCGGCTCTCTCGCTCCTCGCTCTCGGTCGTCTGTCCTGCTTCAGGCGTCTCTCTCTCCTCTCTTCTCTTTTCGTCCTCTCGCATTGCGGTCCTTACTTTTATCCGCTCTCTCCCTCTCTCTCTCCCCTCTGCTATTTCTCTCTCTCTCTCACCTCTCTTCTCTCTCTCTCTTCTCTCTCTCTCTCATCTATATATATATATAATTATATATATTATATGTGGGGGGGTGCGTGCGTGGGTGTATGTGGTGTGTGTGGTGCTGCGTGCGTGTGTGCGTGTGTGTGTGTGTGTGCATGTGTGTGCGTGTGTGGTGTGTGGTGTGTGTGATTGTGTGTTGTGTGTGTGTGTGTGTGTTGTGTGTGGTGTGTGTGGTGTGTGTGTGTGTGTGTTGTGTGTGTGTGTGTGCGCGCGCGCACTGCGTGTCTGTGTGCTGTGCGTGTGTAATATGTGTGTAGTGTGGGAGGTGCAATGGGGCATATAGGTTGGCAGCGATGGGATATTAGATATGGAAGAAGAGGGAAGCACGGACACAAAGCGGGACGGCGTAGATCGTGATGTGATGCCAGTGTTTAAGGCAGAGTTGCCCGCATCGCACCGAGCACCTCACTAAATGATCGCATCTATAATATACTCGAATATATTTTTACATGCGAAGCGAGTGGGGCATGCGTCGGCCGCGATTCCAATACAGGTTATGGGAGACAATATATCGCAATTTCTGGCCTTATTAGCTGAGGCATACGACGCAATAATGGCTGTTTAATGTGGTTCGCGACTGCTTCATATTAATAGCTATTACCATCGTTGTGCGCCGTCTCTGTCGCTTGTCCATGCGACATATATTTCTGTGAACGGTGGTTTGGCACTTTAGAACGCTTATAATCTGCGATAGTGAGCGAGTCTAGGATTATGAGACAGGGGAATATTTTAATATGCGTGTGAACGGGTTGTTTCCGTAAATCACCGCATGCCTGGACGTGTGGCTCAGTCGCAAGAGCTAATTCACGTACGGAGCGGTCTAGCCTTTAGAGATGTGTGCAACCGTATCAAGATTTCGTTCCGTATCATGTCCGCTCGTATTCCGTTAACTGTCCATGCAAGTTTATTTGTTTATTCATATCATGTCATTGAGTTCATTCATGGTCATATCATTCTTCTTCATTATTCATTCATTCATTCCATTCATTCATTCATTCATTCATTCATGTCAATTTATTTGATTCATGGTCTTCTATTCATGCTCATTATTCTTCTTCATGCATCTCATTCATTCTTGGGTTAGTGTCGTTGTTCGTATTTCTTTCGTTCGTGTCGTTCGTTCGTTTCGTTTGTTCGTTCGTTTCGTTTGTACGTTCGTGTCATTCTTTCATTCACCAGTCAAATCAGTCACTAATTCATTCATATTATAATTAACTCTCGCCCTCATTACTCGGCGTCTCTCTGGCACTGCGTCATCCCTCATTCACACGCACTCCTCTTACTGTTCGACCGTCTCCTCTTACGGTCTCGGCTTGTATGCTCTCTTTTCTCTCTTTGTCGTCTCTTCTCCTCTCCGTCTCTTCTGCTCAGCCTGTCTCTCGCTCTCTGCGTCCTGCTCTTCTCTCTCCTCCTCTCTCTCTATCTCTCTCTCTCCTCCCCTCTCTTTCATATCTTCAAACATAGATGAGATATGAGAGAGATAGAGTGCGAAAAAGAGAGGAAAGAGATGGCAAGGTTCGCCGAAATTGACTTTGGCGGTTACGTTGTCATAACTGCGCTCCGACAGAATGTGTAAGCACGGCGCATGGACGTTTAGACATAGTGTGGACATGTCCTGCATGTAATACATTTCTCATGGTGGCCGATCGTTCATCTCTCGTTCATGGTGGCCGATCTCCATCGGGCGTGGCTCTCAGGTGACGCACGTCCTAACAAAAAAATTAGCCAAGCGGAAGACGAGGAGCCGATAAATAGGCTAGACTGCCACGCGCCGTGCGATCGCCGGCTTATTACTAATGGTGCTGCTCCGTGCGGGGCCGATCTGCATGTTAACGTGGCTTGCCGCGCACTGAAGCGCTCAAGCGAGTCTTATGGTTATGCTATAACGAGACGCGCGGGCAGTAGGCGTGCATGACGTGCATTTGAAATGCTGATGTCTATAGGCTCGCAGCGTGTGTGTGGTGTGTGTGTGATCGTGTGTGTGTGTGTGTGTGGGTGTGTGTGTGTATGTGTGTGTGTGTGTGTGTGTGTGTGTGTGTGTGTGCGCCGTGTGTGTGTGGGGGGGTTGTGTGTGTGTGGCGTGGTGTGCGTGCGTGCGTTGCGTGCGTGCGTGCCGTGTGTTGTGTGTGCGTGCGTGAGTGGCTTGGCGTGGCGTGGCGTGCGTGTGCGTGTGGCGTGTGCGTGTCGCGCGTTGGCGTGTTTTGTGGTTTGTGTGTGTGTGATGTGTGTTTGTGTGTGTGCATGTGCGTGTGCGTGTGCGTGTGCGTGTGCGTTGTGCGTGTGCGTGGTGCGTGTGCGTGTGCGTGTGCGTGTGCGTGTGCGTGTGCGTGTGGTGTGCATGTGCTTGTGCGTTGTGTGTGTGTTGGTGTGTGTGTGTGTGTGTGTGTGTGCTGTCGTGTGTGTGTGTTACTCCACCGGTCTGTTTACACGTCGCTGTGTTTGATCACAGGCACTTGGAACGTTTCAATAATATAAAGTGAATGATGGTCAATGTAAATCACGAAAATGTATTAAGCTACACGTCACTCTCGTTTCCTCTACTCTCTATCTGCCTATTATTTACGGATACTGCGTAAACTGATGCAGCGATATACTGTAATTCTGCAAATGCCGTTAAATTGTCCTCTCATGACACCACGCACACCGCGCGCAGCGCGCGCCAGCCCGCAGGCGGCACGCACGCGTACGCACGTAGTACAGGATAATAAATCAGTAATAAGTATCGAAATCGAGAGTCGAGAAAATAACAAGACTTTAGTAGTTAAATATTTCGTGTTTATTTACAATCATTCCTATTATTCAAACGTTCGCAAGTGCCTGCGATTACGAAGCGACGACGTAAAACACGTGTGGTTAGGGGGCAAAGTCGAAATACGCGCGCATGCACAGCGAGCCAGAGGATGATGTTAAGCGCATATTTTCCTGAATGATTACGACGAGAAACGTTGCTAGTGGCTTGTTGAGAAGCTAGAAAGAACTGGCTTGTGTTCTTGATGAACGCTTGAACGGCAGCTCGAGCGCATCTGATTAACGTTAAGCTACACTCATCTTAGCTTCCGAAACGAGTCTAAGTCGAATGTCCTCCGAACTGGCTGAATAGAATTTCAGTTCTCGGAATAAGCAGCGTCACAGGCTACGCGATGACAAATTGATTTAAGCTCCCGCGTGTAGGGCGACATCCGGCGCCGCAAAAAGCAAGTGCGCAGAGAGAGAGAGAGAAGAGAGATAGAGAGAGAGAGGAGAGAGAGATAGAAGAGAGAGAGGAGAGGAGAGAGAGAGAGAGAGCGAGAGAGAGAAGAGAGTGGGGGTAGGGAGAGTCAGCGCGAACGAGAGTGGGGGAGGGAGAGCGAGACAGGAAGAGCGAGAGAGAGCGCGCGAGAGAGAGAGAGAGAAGAAAGAGAGAGAGAGAGAAAGGGCGAGAAAGCGAGAGAGAGAGAGACACAGAGAGAGACAGACAGAGAAAGCGACAGACAGAGAGAGCAACAGAGAAAAAGCGAGGAAGAAAAAGAAAGAAAGAGCGAACAAGAGACAGAAAGAGAAAGAAAGAGCGAGCAAGAGAGAGAGAGAGCGACAGAGAAAGAGCGAACAAGCGAAGAAAGAAAGAAAGAGCGAGAGAAACGCTGAAAGGAAACTAATTGATACAGACGTCTCGTGTATTTACCGCCAACCTCCTCCATAAACATAACTCGCATACGACTAGTGATACACGCGAGAATTCTCCTCATGTAATTTGGCTTTCACTTCGTTCGAAAAAGAGACGAGAATTAACCGGCGCTGGCAGGTCTGTCTGACGTTGGACTGCGTATATATGGGCGCGTGTCTCGCAAACTGTACATCATACACACGCACGCACGCAACGCATGCGCAAACGCGCATGCGCACAACGCGCACCGGCGCCACTGCACGAAGCCACTCTCAGGTGACCCACACGCACACGCAACGGACGCCCACGCACCACACCAACACAACGCACGCCTCACACGCAACACCACGCGCGACGGGACTAGCGCCGACAGCACACGCACCACAACCTCACACACGTGCACATCACACTCCGCAGGTGCTACATCATAACAACGCAACATAACCATCTAACACCCACTTACAACACACAACACCACACACTATCACAATATATTAATATATATATATATTATATATATTTAGTTATGACAATGTGCAGTAGTCGCGATTGTTAGAAACGAACTGAAGAGAGAGACGCATAGGGTATTCTCTCATCAGGGCGGCAGAGCTACGAAGATCTAATTGATAATAAATCTATTACATTGACGGCCGCCTTCATTTCTCTGCTAATCAAGGAAAACGATTTCCTAAAAATTGGAACTGCGCCCCATTACCTAATTACGATACATCACATCGTATTATACGAGTGTGCGTGTGTATGTGGCTGTGTGCGTACACTACTAGACTACACACGCTATAGGTTCTGGCATAGCGTACACTCTTGCATATATCGTAGAATATACACCACTTTGCTCATAAAAATAACATGCACACCCTTACCAGTAACAGATTACAGTATACAGTGTGTGTACACTGCGTAGTATTGTTTGTCACCATTCTACATATCAGAGCGCGTAATCTAGCCTTTACGAAAGTGCGTCAAATCTAGGCTGTAACATAAGGAACACGCGTCTAGAAACGAGGACACTCTCTGTTCACTAACGTACTCATGCATCCGGCACATATCTCTCTTTCTTTGTCCCTCCCTCTCTCCATTTTCTGTCTCTCCCCATTTTTTTTTCTTTACTATTCTCATTGCACTCTTCCACACTTTCCTCCCTTGCTCTCTCTATCTCTCTCTCTCTCTCTCTCTCGTCCTCTCACCTCTCTCTCTCCTTCTCTCTTCTCCTTGTCTCATCTTTGCTCTCTCTACATCTCATTTCTTTGTCTCTCTCTCTCTCTCTCTCATGACTCTTATCCATATGCTCTTTCCACTCTTTGCACTTGGCTTCGTTTCTTTCTTTCTTATGTTTTGTCTCGTCTCTCTCTTTCTCGCCCTTTCTTTCTTCTGCGTGACACTTCTCTCCTTTGCTCTCTCCACTCTTAACCATTGCTCCCTCTCTTTCTCTTTCTCTTTCGTTCTCTTTCTCTCGCGGACATTTGGTCTTTTGCTCTCTGCTTACTCGCTTAGCCCTTGGTCTTTCTTTCTCTCTCTCTCTCTCTCTCTCTCTCTCTCTCTCTCCTCTCTTTTTCTTTGCGTCTCTCTCTCAGCGCTTCTCGTACTTCTCTCTTCTCAAGCATTAAAACGCAAACACAACACTCGCACGCATAACAAGACAACGCAGCGCACGCACCACCAGAGCAGCACATCACATAGCCACACACGACGCACCACCATACACACACACACACACCAGCTCACCACACAAGCACGCACAACACCA